AACACGCCCCAAACCCATCACCCTCCCGCCCCAACCGTCTATACCCCCCGTCTCACAAATCGTGTAACCTCCTCGTACGACATCACCAGGTCCGAGGTCGCGTCGGGGTCCGCCCCCGCCTCCAGCAGCACTCGCACGCACTCCTCACATCCCGCGGTGGCGGCGGAGTGCAGCGCCGTCTCCCCGTCCAGGGAGCGGTGCTGCGGGGAGGCGCCGGCCGCCAGCAGCATGGACACCACGTCCGAGTGGTCGTGCGCAGCGGCCTCCATCAGAGCTGACTCGCCCGTGTCGTCCTGTGTGTATGAACAGTAATGAGCGGGAATGAACATGTATGTATGTATGTATGTATGTATGTATGTATGTATGTATGTATGTATGTATGTATGTATGTATGTATGTATGTATGTATGTATGTATGTATGTATGTATGTATGTATGTATGTATGTATGTATGTATGTATGTATGTATGTATGTATGTATGTATGTATGTGGGGGATAGAGGATTTCTTTGGGAGTTCGTGAGGAGGGCGTTTGGGAAGGGCGAAAACCCAATTCCCCCCCGTCCCCCCCCCACCCCCCACCTGCACGTCCCGGGGGATATCCCGCCGCCAGCAGCTCCTTGACCACCTCCGTGTGGCCGTTACGAGCGGCGGCTATCAGTGGCACCGTCATGACTGTCTGCCTCACCTCCCTCTCCTTCGCACTGGGAGGGGTCCTCACTGTCAGCTGGCGATAAAACACACAGCGGACATAGCGCAACAGAGGGTACGGCAAGGTACGGCAGGTTATGTACGGCAGGGCAAGGGGAGAAGGGCACTACCTAGCATGTGGACGGCATGGCTGGGTAACGGATGGTCCATGGTGTTTAGGAGTCTCATTTTACATGATGACGCGCACTTGGTGCCCACTGGTACAGTAGGTTTTTGTTTTTGTATTCTTCTTTTTCGATGGGACTGCAGATGAGGCTGCGACATGGGTGTGTGACTGGGAGGGTGTGACTAGGAGGGCGATGCGCATCACACAACGCAATCATTCGGGTAGCAATAGCAGTCAGTAGCAGTAGCAGTAGCAGCAGCAGCTGTGTGTAAGAGCAGTAGCAGTTAATAGCAGACAATAGCAGCGCAGCAGTAGCAGCAGCCGGTGCCTTGGGCGTCGGCAGTTGCCGTCCTGATTCTTGCATATGTCGTATGCCCCTCCCCCCCGAAACACACACACACACACAGAGTCACACTCACCCTTCCGGTTACTTGACACGCGCTCTGGCAGGCGCAGTAGCAGCCCATCGCAAGGCCCCTGCTGCCGCCAGTTTCTCGGGCCAACTGCTGCAACCGCTTTCCGTTAGCGGCGGCAGTGTGCTGCGGCAAAGGGCAGTGATATAGACAGTGTGTTTTGTGGAAAGGATTTAAGTTGCGGGCCCCCCTCCCCTTTCCCTTCTCCCGCCCTGCCGCTGCTGTCAGCTGCCGTACCCACCCCTCTAGCCACCAGGCCACGTCCATGTCGCAACAGCACCCGTACGACATCCACATGGCCGTTCAGGGCAGCGATGAACTCCGGGGACTCAGAATCCCCACCTGAACACCACACGGGGGAGGTGGAGAAAACACACACATGAACATGAACATACAGACGGACAGAAAGACACACACAGTGGGGGTTGAGCTCGCGAATAGGGATTGCGAGGGAGGGGAGGGGAGGCCCGTGCAGGCTAGATTGCAAAACAACCCTAAGCCGAGGACTGTCCAGCAGCTGCAGCCGCCGCCGTGGCAGCATTAGCAGCAGCAGTATTAGTAGCAGTAGTAGTAGTAGTAGTAGTAGCAGCAGCAGAAACAGAAGCAATAGCAGCAGCAGTAGTAACAAGAGTAGTAACGACAGCAGTAGTTGCGGTAGCAGCAAGAGTAGTAGCAGCAGCAATAGTTGCAGCGCTAGCAGCAGTAGCAGCGGTTGTAGCAGCCGCAGTAACAGCAGCGTCAGCAGTAGCAGTAGCATCAGCAGTCGTAGGAACACTAGTAGTAGCCAAAGGGGTAGCATCAGCAGCAGTAGCATCAGCAGTGGCATAAGCAGTAGCAGCAGTAGCAACAGTACTAGCATTAATAGTAGCAGCAGCAGCAGCAACAGCAGTGCTAGCAGCATCGGTATTAGCAACAGCAGCAGTAGTGGAGGAGTAGCAGCAGCAGTTATAGCAGTAGCAGCAAAGCTTATCCTGGAAGGAAGCAATGGAGGAAGGAAGCTAAGACCGCAATTCGCAACAGGCCCAAACGCACAGAGAGATATGTATGTATATGCGTCCATGCGTGCACGTCTGTGTGTGTATCAGTAGGCATCCGATGTGCCTGTCCTGGGTAACCAGAGGCGGGGGCCGCATGGAACAACAACAGCCTTGTCTTCAGCCGCCTCCGAACGAAACCCCCACCCATCCCCCACCCATTTCCTCCCCCCCTCCAACCCCTAAAAGCATATATTCCATTTTCCCGGGGCAACATCCTCTGTGTGTTTTGACACTCACCCCCAAGGAGCACCCCCCACCCTCCAACCCCGCTAACACGCACAGTTCGCCGCCGCGGGATCCGCCCCCCACGCCAGCAGCGCCGCCACCGCCTCCACGTGGCCCCTACTGGCCGCCAGGTACAGCGGCCCCGCGATCTGCTCGGAGAAGGACTCGGGTCTCAACACTAGCAGGGCGGGGTGGCCGATGACCTGACCGCGGAGTGCCGCAATCTGCAGAGCGCCGCCGGCAGTCTGAGGGGGGGTGTGAGGGGAGGAGTGAGGGGAGGAGTGAGGGGAGGAGTGAGGGGAGGAGTGAGGGGAGGAGTGAGGGGAGGAGTGAGGGGAGGAGTGAGGGGAGGAGTGAGGGGAGGAGTGAGGGGAGGAGTGAGGGGAGGAGTGAGGGGAGGAG